TTAAGTTTAATTGATATGAAGATATATGTAAAAGTATAATAAATCATTAAAGGAAAATATATTAGATATTTCTGGAGGGTAACAAATCAAGAGGAAAATAGTTAATGTCAATTTCCATGGTAAACACAGCACAAATGTTTCCTTGCAATATTATCTGGCTCTGCATGCCAGACAGTGAGAAATGGCAGAATGACTTCCAGGGATTAGGCAATGGAGATTATATTCTTTACATACCTATAACTGCCATTTGGAGACTTTTTAATCTATTTTTTAAATTTTATCTTCAGCTGGGCATGGTGGCTTATGCCTGTAATCCTAGCACTTTAGGAGACGGAGTCAAGGGGACTGCCTGAGTCCACCAGTTCGAGACTAGCTAGGGCAACATGGCAAGATTTCATCTCTACAATAAAATTTAAAAATTGGCTGGGCGTGGTAGCACATGACTGTAATTCCAGTACTTGGAAGGCTGAAGTGGGATTCCCTGAGCCCTGTGGTGGCTGTGAGCATGCCACTGCACTCCAGTCTGGGTGACACAGTGAGACTCCAACTCAAAAAAAAAAAAAAATTATATTTTCATTTACTTCTCATATATTGGTTAACCTCCACATAGTTGATTTTTCAAACACCTGATTTTGGCCAATCCCCGTATTAAAAAACTGCAGTTCGCCGTATTTTACTGTGATCAGTTCTTCCACTGAATTAAAAAAATTTGAAAAGCCAATTTTCATAATCATCGAACACTTAGTTTGCACGAATCACTGACATCTGTGCATGTTTATATCAGAAACTTTTGTCTCTGAACAGCACTTTCATTTATGTATCCCCTAAATTTGTCACAGGACTATCACATGAAAGAAACTGATATTAAACATATCATCTACATTACAGTGTATGAATGAAAAGAACCACAAAAGTTAAAGTATACAAAAAAAAAGAGCCTGCAGTGACTCATACTTATAATCCCAGCACTTTGGGAGGTGGCGGTTAGAGGATTCCCTGAGTTCAGGGGCTCAAGACCGGCCTGGGCAACTTGGCGAGACCGCGTAACTACAACAAACCAAAAAATTAGCTGGGTGTGGCGGCACACACCTGTGGTTCCAGCTACTTGGAAGGATCAGGTGACTGTGACCATGCTGCACTCCAGTCTGGGCAACAGACTCCTACTCAAAAAAGAAAGAAAGAAAGAAGGAAAAAAACAAACCAAAACAAGCTTGGGCAACATAGTGAGCTGTTTCTACAAAAAATACAAAAGGTTAACCAGGCAGGGTGGCATGCACCTATAGTTCTAGCTACTCGGGATGCTGAAGGGGAAGGATTGCCTGAGCCCAGGAGGTCAAGGCTGCAATGCGCTGTGATCATGCCACAGCACTTCAACCTAGGCAACAATGAGACCCTGACTCAAAACCAAACCAAATTTATTCCTACAGTTGATAACGAGCCTTGTAACATATGAATACCATAATCAGAAATTGATACCTTTGGAAAACATATTTATATTATTTAATCATACTTATTATCTAATAAACATTTCCACATGTTAAGTTTCACTGAACTACTGTTAAAATGTTACAAAATTTATCTAAAGAGTATTCCAAAAACATTTTCAACAACCATATTATGAAATGGGACATATATGTATTGCAGAAAAAGAATATGATATGGCATTAGCATGAAGAAAATTGCAGTTTTCTCAGAATTGGGAGTAAATATTTAGTCTAAAGAGTCATACTCCATTTTGGTTTTTTTCTTTTGAATCAGAGACTCATTCTGTCACCTAGGCTGGAGTGCAGTGGCACCCTCAACAGATACCACAGCCTCAACCTGCTGGGCTCAAGCGATCCTTACGCCTCAGCCTTCCAAGTAGCAGGAACCACAGATGTAAGCCATCATGTCCAGGTGCTTTTTAAAATTACTGTAGAGATGAGGCCTCACCATGTTGCTCAGGCTAATCTTGAAGTCCTGAGCACAGGCAGTCCTCTTGCGTCCACCTCCCAAAGTGCTGGGATTATAGGTATGAACCACTGTACCCAGTCCAGAGTCCATTTTTTGATGGTGACTACTGACACCACTCCTTATTTCTATTTGGCCCTTCTGCGAAAGCTCATACTAAAGCTGCCATCACTCCAGCCCCACAGTGTCACCAGCATGACACAACCACTCATCACATTTATTTGATCTCATGAGCCATTTCTGGACCAGCTTAGGAAGTCTAGTGTTTCTTTGCCACATCTACAATGTATAATAATAATTCACATAACACTTCGGTGTCGGGCATTATCACTCTTGACAAACCAACCAAACTTAGGGTAGGGTTCAATGCAGCTTCAGCAGACACAGGTACAAATTACCAAAAATGTTAAATGAATAAATATATGAAGTTGCTAGTTTGTGTCCCCCCCCCAAAAAAACCTCAGGTGTACATATTTTTCATACATACTTTTATTTTATAGTATCTTTCCTATTCTTACTGAAATTTTATTTTTAGCTGATACAACATTAAAATGCATGTCATGTATCTATTTGGCACATAACAAAAAGGCATTTTCAATTATAATAATCTAACTTGGCTGGGTTCAGTGGTTCAGCCTGTAATCCCAGCACTTTGGGAAGCCAAGGTTAAGAGGATTGCCTGAGCCTGCAGGTTCGAGACCAGCCCGGACAACTTGGCAAGACCTCATCTCTACAATACATAAAAAATTAGCCAGGCATGGTAGTGCATGCCTGTAGTTCTGGCAAGGCTGAAGCGGAACGATCACCAGAGCCCAGCAGGTAGATGCTGGGGTGGCCACGAGTGTGCCACTGCACTCCAGCCTGGGCGACAGAGTGAGACTCCAACTCAAAAAATTAAAATAAAAAAAATAAAAATAAATAATACAACTCAAGCCAGGTGTGGTAGCTCACGCCTGTAATCACAGCACCTTGGGAGGCCAAGGCGAGAGGACTGCTTAAGTCCAGGAGTTTGAGACTAGCCTGGGCAACAAAGCAAGACCTCATCTCTGTATTAACATTTTAAAAAATACAATGCATATTCATCATTAGTGATGCAGGTTTTGGAATATCAGAGTGTGACACTGCACTGCTATGGGATTTTCATTATATCCACATTAGTGTCCTAAGGCAGACTACAGAGGACAGCTCAAGAGGAGTCTATGGCCTCAAAATTGTAGTTCAGGCTGGGCTGTTAATAGTGAAAAATGTCCTTGCATTTTTAACCCTCTGTACTCTCGGAAGTCCCTCTGAGGGGACACCATAAATCTTGTAAACCACTTAGATGTCTCCTCTTAGAAGACAAAAAGAGATTGCTGGTGATAACACAGGACAAACTTATGAAAGTACATTTTTCAAAAATATGTTTCCTTGAAGTTTTCCATTCAAAAACAATGAAAAACCTATGTCCCAATGGAAATCTGACAAGGTTATGATCGATCAGCTGAGAAGTGGTTTCCAGGAATCACCAGTGTATCCTTCCACATCGTCTTCTAACAACAGAATCGACAACAAATGACATATTATTAATGTAGAAGGAAGAAAATAAGACTGCATTGTCTGCTTGAAAAGAAAATACCAGGCAGAAGATGTCTCATAAATTACTATTGCACAACATGCATTCATGAATCTGCAATGCATATGAGTGACTTTTTCATACATTACCAAATGCTAGAAAAATATACAATATAAAATCTTGATTTTTTTGGTCATAAATAAATTCCTCAATGTCTAAAATTCCATTATAAGTCAAATATCATTACAATAAAATATTTGGTTCCAACACTACATACTATTTAATATGAAGTGATTTTTTACCATTCCATAAAAAAGTTGCTGGTAGGTGATCCCTGAGATGTCTCTGAATGCAAAGGGTTACCATGTCATGACTTTTAATATATTCTGACTTGATATTATTCTGCAGCATATAATATCAAAAGTTAATCTTGGAAAATTAGAGACTAATTTATTGTTCACACAAACTCTGATGTGGAGTATAGTTTAACAATTTGGCAAATGAGTTACAATATAATCACATTTGCAATAGTCTGTTCTAGTATGAATTCTTTAATCTAAGGACATACCTTAGAATAATGAACTGTCTAGGATTACTACACTACTCCTACAACAACAACAACAAAAACCATGAATTTCTGAGCAAAACACTGAATACATTCATGTAGTCGGTCTGCAGTATAAACCCTTAGATGTTCCAATTTTGTTGCTTGGGTAAGAACTTAATCATGCTTTTTATGTTTGTATCATTCACCAAATATGCACTTTTTTGCTTGTGAGTGAGTTTGCGGTCTGGAAAAAGTCTCTCACACACATATGAACACTTGATAGAATGGATTCACTGATGTTAATTAATGCTTGAACTCATAATGGCTTCCCACTCTCATTGTGATTTTAATCAATCATGAATTGAACAATTCTGAATTGAACATCTGAGTAATGTTGTACAACTGGGGGATTTTGCGAAAAGACATTGCTACATTCAGTAAATTGCAAAATTTCTCACCATATGCACTATATGAAGCGTTATGAGGAATGAACCCATATTAGAAGATTTGCCACATCCATTACATTTTTACTGGGTTTCATTTCAGCAAGAATTCTTTGCAGAATTCAGATGTCAGACTTTTGCCTTAAGGCCTTGCTACATTGAATAAATTGGTAAGGTTTCTCTCCACTGTGGTTTAAATTAATAATGGTTATTAAGCCTTGAACAACATCTAAATAAAGGCTTTGCTATATTCACTATACTTACCAAGTTTTCCACAGTACGACTCCTCCAAAATCTCGCAAGGTTTCAACACTGACTGAATATACTGCTATGTTAAATACATCTTTCTCCATATGAAATCTTTGTGAAGGTTCAAGACATAAATGGTCACTGAAGACCTGGCCACATTCATTATATTTGAAATGTTTCTCCAAAGTATGGTCTAAATTATGGGAAGTATGGAACACTCACGAAATGTTTTCCCACTCATTATATATTAGTAAGGTTTCTATCCAATATGGATTGTCCGATGTTGTACAAGGTGTGACTTATGATTGAAGACTTTGCCACACACATTACATTCGAAAGGTTTTTCTCCAGTATGGATTCTCCGATGTTGCACAAGGTTTGACTGATGATTGAAGACCTTGCCACACACATTACATTTGTAAGGTTTCTCTCCAGTATGAATTCTTCGATGTTGCACAAGATGTGAATTGCGACCAAATACCTTGCCACATTCATTACATTTGTATGGTTTTTCCCCGGTGTGAATTCTCAAATGACGTGCAAGGCCTGAAGTTTGGCTGAAGAGCTTGCCACATTCATTACATCTGTATGGTTTCTCTCCAGTGTGAATTCTCCAGTGCTTTTCTAGGGATGCCTTCTGACTGAATACCTTACTACATTCATTACATTGGTAAGGTTTCTCTCCAGTATGAATTCTCCGATGTCGAGCAAGGTGTGAAAATTGACGAAAGTTCTTGCCACATTCATTACATTTGTAAGGTTTATCTCCAGTATGAATTATTCGATGTTGTGAAAGGTATGAAATAACATTAAAGCCTTTTCCACATACATTACATTTGTAAGGTTTTTCTCCAGCATGGATCTTCTGATGTTGGGCAAGGTGTGACTTATTATTGAAGAACTTACCACACACATTACAGTTGTAAGGCTTCTCTCCAGTATGAATTCGCCAGTGTTGTACAAGCTCTGAATTGCGACCAAACACCTTGCCACATTCATTACATTTATATGGTTTCTCTCCAGTATGAATTTTAAAATGACGTGCAAGGTCTGCAGTTCGGCTAAAGAATTTGCCACATTCATTACATTGATAAGGTTTCTCTCCAGTATGAATTACCCGATGTCTTCCAAGACTTGACTTTTTATTGAATACTTTGCCACACATATCACATTTAAAACGTTTCTCTTCTGTATGGATTATTTTCTGTATAGTGAAATATAAGCCTTGACTAAAGACCTTTCCACGCTTATTACATTTGTAATGTTCTGTCTCAATGTGTGCTTTCTGCTTTTCTGTGATTAAGGAATTAGAAAAATCATACTCATATTTATGAGAAATGCGGGGTTTGATTTTAGAAGGAATTTTGTGAAATGAGGAAACTAAGGAACCATTGTTGATATAGTTTTCAATGTGATTATATTCATACATTTTCCCTCGTGCTTGAAGTAGCTCCAGTTCTGGTAGATGAATCTGAAAGTTTAATCCAAGTTGATTTTTCATAGGCTTGTTTCCTGTACCCCTTCTACCATGCTGATCTTTAGGGGAAGCGAGATTTTCTTTATGGGTCATATGCACTCCTTTGAAATGTCTCTGATCATCTCTACACTGACAGTCAGAGTCATGTATATTTTCCTCAATTTCCTTAAAGCAAAAATCTTCAATGTCATGGCCTTTCAACATTACTGTTTGGGATATTTCTATCACATTACTCTTCTTTTTTGGTGGAAATTCCTTTACCATACATATAGGAGAGATACCTATAAGATATAAAGAATCACAGGTTTCCAATTAATTACAGGTGGCCATTAAATAATCTCCTATTGTTCGTGACCTGCCTGGGCAGCGAGACCTCATCTCTATAATAAATCAAAAAATCAGCCGGGTGTGGTAGCGCATGCCTGTAATTCCGGCTACTTGGAAGGCTGAGGCGGAAGGATCGCCGGAGATCAGCAGGTCGAGGCTGCGGTGGCCGGGAGCGGCCACTGCACTCCAGTCTGGGCAAGAGTGAGACTCCAACTCAAAAAAAAAAAAAAATCTCCTATTGAAATACATAATATTGGCTGGAAGTGGTGGCTCACACCTATAATCCCAGTACTCTAGGAGGCTGAGGTGAGAGGATTACTTGAGCCAAGGGGTTTGCAATCAGCCTAGGCAGCATAGCAAAATCTCACCTCTACATAAAAAACCCCCCCAAAACCTAGAAATCAGCAAGACGGTGGCACATGCCTACATTCCAGCTATTTGGGAGGCTAAGATGAAAGGATCATCTGCATCCAGGAGGTCAAAGCAGAGGTAGGCACTGATGGTGCTACTGCATTTCAACCTGGGTGACAGAGACTCTGACTTATAAAAAAAGAGAGAGAAAATCTCAAATAAATAATATTGGCAAAAAGCAATACATATACTGAACAGAATTATGTAACATCCAATCATCTTTCATTTTTAGGAAGAGAAAAGAAATACTTTTTTAAAAAAAATGATATACAGGAAGGGTGCTTATGTATACTTCAAAATACCTGCAGGAAAGCCCATGTGAAATAATTTGTAACCAAAATACTTTGCAGAAATGTAGTTATTTTTTTTTCACCATGCAGCCAAAGCACACTGCAATGAGCTGAAAACATGAACTGACTATTAAAGGAAGAAAATTTTGTACTTAACTTGGAAATGTGTGAGATCAGAGAAAACATTATCTGGAACACGTTAAAAGACAAAAATGTACACAATATAATGTAGGCAACTATGCTCTGAATATTTGTGTTGACCAAAATTCATCTGTTCCCTAACAAGATATTATTGGAGGAGGGGCGTTTGAGTGATAATCAGGCCATGAAGAGAAGCCCTCGTGATCATGAATAGCGGCTTTATAAAAAGAAACAACAGAGAGCTTGCTTTTCATTCTGTTATGTCAAGACATAGCAAGAAGCAGGCTCAGGTAAAACAGGAAGAGGGCGCTCACCAAGCACTGGTTTGACGCGGCTCTGATCTTGGGCTTCCCTGCCTCCAGATTTATGAAAACTGAATTTCTGTGGCTTAAGCATCTCAGGATATAGTATTTCCTTCGCAGATTGAGAAGACTAGGACAGGAAAAGGAAGATCTCATTACTATGACAGAGGTTGATACATATTATTAAGGAAAATAAGTTTTCTGTCTTAACCCCAAAATGCAATATTCTTAGCCATCTACAACTACCAGTTCTATTTCTATCTTTTTAAAAGTATCAAGAGGTAAATTATTTTTCAAGTGAAGTACAGCAGGTCAACGGCATTTATGTATCTAACCCCAATGTACACAGAAATAAAGTGAGGTAAACAGGATTTGATGCTGGAACTCTAGACTCACACATATTCTTAGGAACAACTGCTGATCCAAGCAGCACAGAAAACAATAGGACACAGCAAATAAAAAGAACTCAGAAGTATTTCAAGGGAGAGAAAAGAGTCAAGGACTGTTGCTAGGAGTGTTACTTATTCGTCTCTTATGGATAATGGTGATTTATCACCAGTACACAAACTGATTTGGTCACTGTTCTGTGGACATTGTCCAATGGATGAGCAAGTGCCTTTCCTAAGGAATGCAGAATTAATAGGCAAAGAAATCAAAGTATAATTCACCCAGATCAAGGAACTAAGTGAGGAAAGGTCAAGTCAAAAACACAAACAAACAAAAAGGAATGTAGGAAGACCATGTGGGTAGGGGAGCATGATGATTTCCCAACTGAGCAGGAGGGTATTGCCAAGATCTGCTCTTTATCACATTAGGGGGAAAAAAAAAGGAAGTACATTAACTACAATATTAAATAAATAATATGCTTTAAAAATGGGCATGTAGGAGATGACATTGTAGTTGCAAATCTGTTGAAATACAATTGTCCTAAGTCATTTAAAATTCTGACCTTAGTAGAAAAGAACTAATTTAGAAAGTAGCACAAGACTATTCCATTCTTAACTATGGATATAAAATGATGGATGTGAGGAAAAATGGAAGTTGGAAAACAGTCAATGTGATGATATGGGAAAGATGCAGGAGAAATACAAAGAAAATAAAATACATACACACCTCTTACAATATTTGGTATAACATTTATTCAAATTGAATGACTAAAGACTTCCATTTCTAAGCAAATATTCATAAATGCTACATATTGATTCTAGATTTTATGTAGAAATGTTCTTAGCAAGATCTGGAAGCAAATACCTGTATACGGCCATAGAGCAGAAATGGGTATGTTCATTGTGCACACACAGAGAAATTCAACAAACATCAACAGTACAAAAATGTAAGGAGACCATGAGTGCAGAATGATGACCCCCTGGCTGGGCTGGTAGAAATGTGTTTGAGGAAACAAAGCTTGCAGAAGGCCACTACTATCATTTGCCTTGGACCACATTAGAAGAATTAAATAAAAACCTTACGAAGTATAACATTAAGTAAACAATATGTTTTTTAAAAAGAAATTTAACAATTCTGATATATTAAAAATTGTAGGAACTAGTCTTTTTTCATATGTAACGATAACAGTGTCTCCACTTTGGGAGGCAGAGGTGAGAGGACCACCTGAGCCTCAGGTATTCAAGACCAGTCCGGGCAACTAGGCAAGACCTTGTTGCCACAATAAAAAAAAAAAAAAAATCAGCCAGGCATGGTGACTCATACCTATAGTACCAGCTTAAGACCAGCTTAAGTTCTCGACCAGCCTGGGCAACATAGTGAAACCCTGTCTCTAAAAAAAGTACACACACACACACAAGGCACAAAATACCACTGGTAAAAATCTAAGAATGAACTCTAGTCAGAATGGCCGTCATCAATAACTCAAAAAACAACAGATGCTGGAGAAGATACAGCAAAAAGGGAATGCATCTACACTGTTAGTCGGAGTGTAGACTAGTACAACCTCTGTGGGAAACAGTTTGGTGACTCCTAAAAGATGTAAAAATCAACCTTCCATGTGACCCAGCAATTCTCCTGGGAATATATCCAGAGGATCACAGATCATTCTATTAAAAAGGTAACTGCACATGCATGTTTATTGTAGCATTATTTACAATAGCAAAAACATGGAACCAACTGTGTTGTCCATCGAAAGTGGACTAGATTTTTAAAAATGTGGTGCATATACAAGATGGAATATTATGCAGCCATAAAGAACAAAATTAGGGACTTTGCAGCAACTTCGATGGATTTAGAATCTATAATACTCAGTGATCTATCAGAGAAACAAAGAACTGAGTACTACATGTTCTCACTCATAAGCAGACCCTGAACATTTATCATAATACTGTAAGAAAGGAACTGGTAGTAGCAGGAAACTACCAGGGGAGAGGGGGATACATAACATCAATAAGAGTACCTGATCTCAAATAAGGCAAAGTGAGGACCAAAGAGAGGCCCAAACTTTACCTGTACAATGACCACTTAAGTATCGAATCCTGAATTGTATCCCACATCTTTAAAATAAAAGAAAAAATAATGTAAGAACGAGATAGCCCTCTAAATTACTTTACAAAAACATAAAATAATCGTCTTAAAGATGCTCAATGAGCTACTACATAACAAAGACAATTACATGAAATTTGAAAAAAGGTGAAAAAAATGAGAAGAGAGCAACTTAAGAAGAAGCACTCATGACTTCTGTAGCTGAAATACAATAATCAAATTGAAAAATATACTAGAATAGCTGGGCACAGTGGCTCAGATCTGCTATATCAGCTAATTGGGAGGATAAAGTAGGGGGATCCTATACGGCCAGGAGTCTGAGCCATACGTAAGTTAACTGAAATATGCTAAATGATATACAGTTAATGTACACAACATACATACTGGTGGTGCCAAAAAAATGTATACACATTAAGAGCTGTTAAGAGGGACCCCCTTGGATCCCGCCCCACTGAGAGCTTTTCTTTGAGCACTTCCAGTAACTGCAGATATCAAATGTGACTTGTATTCATATTATTGAGTATTATAACTTTAATACAGTCTTTTCCTTTCTTAAAATGTGTTTACATTTTTTTGGCACCCTCTGTACATAAAGGTAACTGATATCAATAACTAACAGAACTAGAAGAGCTATTCAGTAGTAGTTTTTGTAGGTTATAGAAGTTAAGTTCTCATCAGTTTAGTATGTTATAAGATTTTTAATGTACCTGCAATAGTAACCACCCCCTAAAATACCTACAGAACACACACAAACATAAATAAAGGAGTCAAAGCATATTTTTACCAAAAAAAAAAAATCAATGAAACAGAAAAGATAGTAAGTGAGAAGTGAGAGAAAAGTTAAGTCTACAAAAAATACAGAAGCTATGTAAGAAAAAGGGCAATGATAAGGTCTTTACCATCAGTAATAATTGAAATGTAAATGATATTTAACTCTGTCTTCAGAACACAGATTTGTTGAATTAGTAAGATTTGTTGAATTAGCATCAAACTACATGTTGTCCACAAGAAACGCACATAAGGCCTAAGAATATACCCAACATAAAACTATAAAGATAAAATAATAATATTCCAAGCAAATAGTATCCAAAAGACAGAAGCAACTATACTAATATATACTTTAACTCAAAAATTTGTATCAGAGACAAAGGACATGATATAATGATGAAATGGCCACTTCACAAGAAGATACAACATTTAGAAATATGTGTATGAAACATCAAAACTCCTAAATATATAAAGCAAACATTAATAAAATTGAAGAGAATAGGTAGCTCCATTATAATTGTAGGAAATTCTAACACCAAACTTTCAATA